TCTTAGCTCTGTTGGTGGTTTCTCTTGCAGTGCAGAAGCTTTTTAATAAGATGAGATCCCAGTTGTTGATTCTTTATGTTAGATCCCGTGCTACTGAGGTTTTTGTTCATAAAGTCTTTTCCTATGCCAATGTCTTCAAGAGTTCTACCTAACTTATCTTCCAACAGGTTTAGTGTTTCTGACTTAATATTTAGATCTTTAATCCACTTTGATCTTAGTTTAGTGCATGGTGATAGGTAGGGGTCTAGTTTTAATCTTTGGCAGGTTGAAATCCAGTTTTTCCAACACCATTTATTGAGGGTGGTTGGCTCTTTTGTCAAAGATGAGATGACTGAGTATGTCTGAAGTTGTTTCTGCATCTTCTAATCTATTCTACTGATCCTCGGGTCTGTTTCTTTGCCAGTACCATGCTGTTTTTATCACAGTAGCTTAAGACATATAATTTTTTAAAGATTCATTCCAAGTAGACTACATCCAAGTGTACTCATGATTTCTGCAGTTTAGGGCCAGTGATTTAGCTCAGTGGGTCTGCCACCTGCCTCGCAAGCGCAAGGACCCGAATTTGATCACTGACCAAAAAAAAAAAAAAAGATTTCTGCAGTATAAAAGGACATTTTTTTCTTTGTAGTTAATAAGCGACCTGAGCATGTGACAATGTTTTCTCCTAAATCATTCTCCTCATGGATTTATTAAGTCATTGATGATTGTTTCTAAAATCAATTATTACAATAGTTATTATAAAACAGTGATATTTCTATCACTTAGCATTATTTGCATATCTTGGTTTAAACTTCCTGTACTCCTGAAATTTTTGTCTAAAAGATATTTTGTGCATAACACAATTAACTTTTCAACAGCACTTACCCTGCACCAGGCACTACTTGTTCTATAAACATTATCTCTTTAAAATCTCTGGGGCTGCACTGCAAGGCTGGATTTATTATCTCTATGGACAGCCAGGAATCAGTGACTTCATGACTTGCCCAGAATGAGGATACAAACTCACTCTAGTAAACCACCTCACAGCATTGTTTCCTTGCAGGATTATAATTTGTTATTTTACCCTTCATCACTGATCATGGATGTCATTTTTTTAACTGATGTCTGAGGCTCAGAATGGGCTACTCCCACAGGCCAGCTACAAAATTGTGATGCCTGTCTGGTGTATGAACACCTCTGGGATGACTAGCTTTGATGGGATGACAAGGCTTTGATGAGTTCTGGTTCACAGAATTTAACTTATTGCCAGATTGGTCCATGTACTTCATATTTCACAGAGTATTTGGTGCTTTGGGTTTGTTTTTTTATTTGATATATGCAGTTCATTAGATCTAATGAGAAGATGACCCCCATTTTCCCTAAGAAATGGTGAAGCCAAATACATAATTATGGTGTTGATGGTAGATGTGTGAAATTCTCAGGTTAGGCTACAGGTTGTTGACTAGGGTCTTGCTGTGTCCAGTTCCTGTATCAGACTTTGAAAGGCTCCCACTGCCTTCCAAAGAAAAATGGTGAGGTAATAAAGTAACAGGCAGGCTCCCATGGATTCCTGAGGACCCTTGACCCTATCCTGTCTGGTCAGGAAACTCCTCTGAGCATCTATGACAGAATAGGGGCAGGGAACGGGGCTTTCCAGTCTAAAGCAGGATATTTCACAATTGCAGTGACATCTTTTGCAACAGGGGCAATTCTGAGGCAGTGTTTTGATGCTTCTGGGGCCTTTCTAGGTAAAGGGAGGCCCACTAAACTTTTGTTTCTTGAAGTTCTGGTGATTTTTTTAAATGATGAAATGTGAAAATGGGATCATAGCCCTTGTGATATATTTTAAATGTTTGATTTATTATAATGAGAGGGGAGTAGTAATGAGCTCTTCTTTCTTATTCCTCTCCCACCAGATGTGTAATCTTATTTGGGTTCAACATGATAAAATTAAATCCAGTTCAGTTGCTACAAAGGATACACCCTCTGCTCCTACTCCCAAGTATATTCTCAGGTGCCCTGATCTCTACTCCATGTCTGGTTACCAGGAGTTACCCTTTCTATGAGATCCATTTTAACATCATTATGGGATTTTTTTCCCCAGTACTGGGGATCAAGCCCAGAGCTTTGTACATGGTAGGCAAGTGTTCTACATCCCCTACCCCATTTGGAGACTTTTACAAAGATTATTAGTTTTATAATAATAAAAATGATAGTTTGAAAAAAGCCATTTATAATTAGTTTAGTCTCTAAGGGAATATCTGTCTTGTCCCCCAAAACATAATAAAAGTTTATGATATTTAAATATATGTGTCATTGAGAGAATGAAAAAAATAATGGGAAGGGGCCGGGGATTTAGCTCAGTGGTGCTGCTGCCTGCCTTGCAAAATGCAAGGTCCTGAGCTCGATTCCCTGTACCAAAAAAAAAAAAAAAAAAAAGAAGAAGAATGGGAAAGTTGTTGATCTAGAACTGAGAATAGTGAGTCTCTGTGAGCCAAACTCCCCCTTGCACAGTTCCTAAGATATTTAGATGGAAGAGCAAAGTCTGAGAC